CTCCATTGATTTCATCCTCACCATGTTGTAAGCAGTGCCTGGAGATAAATCCATCATACATTGTGCCCCCAAAGCATAGGTCATCCAGTGGAATTCCTTTTTAATTAATGAATAAGTTTGTCCTTAGATAAGTTTAGATAAGTAGAACCCATCAGTGATGCTGTGATCCACAAAGCTGAAAGCATAAGTCTACTCTTTGCCTTTTTCTCTCATTTTTTCCCTTTCTTCCCCCCACACCAGGTATCTATTAATCCCCATCCCCATCTTCTACAACCCAGCATGATCTAGAATGTTTGAATATGTCCTTATTCTTCACCTCCATCCCCCCCCCCAGTTCAAACCTTAATCATTTATTTGTATACACTATTGAAATAGATTTTCAGCTGGTGTTTCAATCACCTTTACATCTGTTCTACACAATGGCCCTCTCAGGGTAATCTTTAATATATTAAAATCTATAACTCTTTTCTCTATTTCAAATTTCCACTGACTCACCACTGACAACAAAAAGGCACATTTTCAAACGATGCCTTGGTGATTTAGCATTTCTGAATTATCTTAGGCCATTCCCAGTATAGCTACTGTAACATTCCACAAATAGGCACAATACTCTTTCTCTGTGTCTTTGGACATGCTTTCTCCTTCCACTGGAATTCTTTCTTTGGGAGAACTCTAACTCCTCTTCAAAAATCCAACAACCATGTTTAGAAACCCTTTCTTAGCCCTCATGTGTGGATTTAGATATTACTTGTTTGTCCAAAGTGGGGTGTGTGTGTGTGTGTGTATGTATAACTGAACTGGACTTATATATATATTTGAACTTGAATTGAATGGAAATATATTGGTCGATTATAGACTAGAAGCTTCTCCAGGTTGCCCCTCCCCATCATACAGAAAGTGTCAATAACCAACACAATATCCAGCAAGCACAAGCTTCTTGCCTTCTTCCTACCAGTGTCTCTACTCATGTATAAAATGAGATGCCTAAGTGAAATGGGTTTTAAATCTTCCTAGTCAAATAATCCAGTCAGTCCACATCCTCAAAGCTTCTTCAATCACCCTATTTAAAACCCAATATTCTTTACTAGTACATTCCCCATTTTTCTACTTTATTGTCTTTATAGCTTATTTCTCCCTAAACACACCCCATAATTTACTTACTCTCAGTGATTATCTGTAGATTGAAAGAACTCTCAAATGTTAAAAGTGAAAGGTTCTGGGAGATCATCTCATCAATCAGGTTTTTTTTCAACCTATCAATGACATCTAGTCAGTGGCCATACCAGTATTAGTTATCAGAATGTGGCCATACACTGACAACTGCAGGCTAATTCACAACTATCAGAAACAGGATGACAGAACTGGAGCAAAAGAATGAAGGTATATGAATCTAAGCACAGCACTGACTCAAGTGAGGCTATAAGTCACAGTGTGGTCATGTTGCCATGGATAGGGCATAACTACCACCCTTTGTTCCCATAGAACAACACTATAAGGGGAAGGAGGTCTAGCCTACAAGGAAAAGCAAGCACAATAAGTGTGCTTATTTTTTGTTCTTCCTTGATGATGACCTCCTCCTTTAGTACTTGGTGACCTTCACTTTCTTGTGTCCCCAGAAAAGGCTGATCTATATTGAAGCACCAAATACAGCTGACCCTTGTATCTCTCTCAAGGATGCTTGACAGGAATCTGCAGCTATTTCACTAAAGCTCTTGTTTACAGCTGAAGCAACTGAGTTAAGGGCTCAGTTGGAACATCACACATTGACAAATAAAGGGAAGTGATGGGATCTGCCTCACATGCAGTCTGAAGTCATGCCACATGTGTAAACAAGGGCAACTAATAAAATAGTTCTGAATCACCATCTAATGCAGAGTTGTTTATCTGTAGACCAGTTTCTCTTCTCTATCTTATCCTCCATTTGAAGTCCCAGCTGTAGGGTTGGGATCAGAGTATATGATGCAGAATTTAGAAAGCAGAAATCCCTAAAATCTATTCTTTCCAGTCTGAGCATATCAAATAAAGACCTTAAGGAACTATATAGAAAGGTCTACCTTTCAGCACCTGGTTTATGTAAGAGGAGTTAGATATTGACTAGGAGAAAATGAAAGCTAAGGCTCTACATTCCTAGACATTTTGATTTGGGGAAAAGCTGTAGTAGAGAGATTTTTAGCCCAGTGATGAGCATTCTGATAGGATCATGGAGCCAAAGGTCTTTGAGGCTAGTAAGCATATTACTAAATCTCTCTATCACTCCAAGGAGGAATGTCATGCTCCAATAAGAAGGTGGTGGCTGTGGGATCACGGTCATGGCAATAGGCTACTACAATGCTTCCTGCCTCCTAGCATCTGAATAGGACATATTAAGGGACCCAGTTTTCCCTAACTGAGGGTATGCTTAGAGCACAGTAAAATAGCAAAGCCTTGTAGGTGGAACAAAGGCATCAGTACAGATTCAAGAGTTCAAGACCTTGTAAAAATATCATGATCCTAGGCTGCACTGGTAGATACTAGGAGGAGCTTGAATCACAGCAATCAACATGTCAAGATATGGGGATAACTGGCCACTCTCCAGTCCTACCCAGCAAGGATCCACGTAGCACTGCCTAGGTCTGAAGAACTTGTCTCCTCTGCCACAAGGTAAAATAAATAATACCTAGGAACCAGCTTAGAAAGACGTAGGGGGAAAATCTAATACTTTTCTTAAAAGAGACACCTAGTGCATAGTTCTTTGTGAGGAAAATAAGATAAATTATGGAAAAGCAAAGTAGGTGCATTTCCTTTGCATATACATATGCTAAGGATAAATATTTTTGTCACTTCATTGCATCTTTGACACGTCAGTGCAATGAGGCTTGTAAAGACTACCCTAGGATTCCAGGAACTCTGTGTGCAGAAAAATTATGTATCATGGAGTGATGGCAAACACCTAGGCTAAAATTAACCCTCCAGTTAAAGCCATGGCCAATGAAGACAAAGGATTTACAGATGGAGATAATGGATGGTCAGCAAAAGGTAGAAAATGGGGGGTAAAGGAATCTTATCTCCAAAGTCCCTTCTTAGTCTATAAAGTTTGAAAGAGTGGAGTCATTTTATTTCAGAAAAAGAAACATATCATCAACCTTAATTCCAACTTAGGACATATACAGAGATGGTATACTTGGTAAACAGACTGAACAACAATTAACCCGAAAGAAATATAAAGCTACTATTTCACAAATTAATCCCAGCTAGAGACCCAAAGAGTAAGGCATTGGATCCATGTCAGCCTTGTAAGAGCAAGCTAAGTTAGTATCCATCCATCCATTACACCAGATAGCAGAGGTTACAGTGCATACCTCTTGGAAGTGAAGAAGACCATAGTTAAGATATTGGGTTTTATCACTAATCCATAGTTGCTGTTGCCTTTAGGTTAAGATAGCTATTCATTCCACTCTAGTATCCAGTGCCCACTAAAAGTCTATCTTAGCTCAAGGTTAGAATTTTCCTATACATAGCAGCTCCTGTAGTGTGAGGAGTAGCACAAAGTAATGGGTCAATAATGGGAAGTGTTTGTGCCTTCTTGGAGATCATATAGTAAATTAAGATTACAGCTTCAAATAGTTGTCAGGTTTTCTAGTCAAACTGGAAGGGTTTTGGTGGTCAGTAATGGAAATAAACACAAGATGGTGATCAAAATCTGGAGAAAAGGGAGGTAGGATCTAATGATGACCACGTTTGCTTTGCATAAATGAAAAGGCTTATTATGGGGGCATAATACATTTCAAATATGTCCAATTTAGAATATCTTACCAATAACCTTACATTTCTGTTTTCCACTCTCTTTCCAGCCACCATTAAGAGTTAAGCACAAGGCTGATGCCAAAAGGGAAGAAACTAAGTCCACTGAGGAAGTGGAAAGCTAATCACAGTACAAGGAGTCTTTAGAAGAGAGATGGGATCATTAAGAGAAATAGCTGCTGCTTACAGTCTGAGGCAACTTTGAGAAAAAATAAGACAGGAGCAAAGTAAGGTAAGCAGCTATAAGGTGTGCTTACTTCTCTACACATAGGAGCCAAAAAGAGGGTTGGTGATATGTGATCTGAACATATGAACAGCTTTGGGGGTAAATGGCAAGCCTACATCCACCCAGATACGGGGCCATGTGACCGCAGCTGTGTGGGGCTATACAACCTCAGAGAAATCTCTCTGCATGGCATCTAACATGATACAAGAGTAGTAGAGCTGAGGTGGCAGAGGTGATGGATCGATTCATGATTCTGAGCTAGAGCTCATGCCTTTCAATATAGGCCCATGGCACACAGGGAACCCAGACTCCACTATATCTTCAATAGGGAAGCAGTATGGGAGAGCATTGGTTCATCTAGGAATGGGAATGGTGAGATCAGGATGAAGATTCCTGTGGATGTTGACTTTGAGACTGGGGACAGTGGTTCAGGGTCTAACACTGCAGTGATGAATGTCCGTAGAAAGTCAGGATAATACAACAGTTCCTCAGACTAGGAAGCAACCTCAAGCAGCTACTTCTCAGCAGGGTTCACCCAGGATCCATCTGAATTTATGTGAATCTGAGGTATCACTTTCCACTAAATGGCAAAAAGTGATGTCAACACATCTCTTCCTGATAAACCAGGTTCTGTTAGAAAAATGTAAGAGGAAGAGTGATTAAGTTTAGAGCCTCAAGAGTCTAAGTGACTTCTTAGGAGGCACTAAGCTTCACCCTGGACTCAGTTTACTTAGTTATGCTGAATTAATACATATCCCATTTCTGAGATGAAACTGGTTTATGTGGAAAAGCAGATGGCTTATTTAAAAAATATAAATGATAATCTCTTTTAGAAAATTGCATCTAGGTATAATAAGATGAGGAATTTTATAATCCTGGTATATTGTAAATTAAATCAATAAGGAAATAGTGTCCAAAAGGCCAATTAGCAAGAAAACTCTTTTATTGATAGAAAAGAAAAACAAATTTTTCATGAATTCTAATATCTGTTTTATTCTATCTGTTGGATATACTTGAGTTGGAAAATCAAGTTTTTTCTGTTGCTGCTGTTATTATCTCTATAATAACAATCTGTGCAATCACAAGTTTTAGGTAAATATTTCTGCCTCAAACAGGTTTAAAAAACTCAGATAAGTCATTGTCCCCAACTAAAATCAATTTTATTGTCAGCTAAGCATTCCTACATAGTACCAACTGTATCATTAGGTTGGTGGCATTAATAAGTATTGATGTTAAGCCACAAAATCTGTTTCTCAAATGTTACCAAATAAAAAAACAAATCAGAATCAGATTTATGTTCAGTTCAGTAGTTAATGCCTTCCTGTGTAGGATAGGGCAGGTCATTTTTATATGAAATAAAATATCTGTGATTCACAGTCACTAGTTCCAAAAATGAATAAATGGCTTTTCAGATTCAAATTCAAAGCCCAGATTTCCATGAGAGTGGACTTTAGGGACAAGGCCATATTAGATTAAAGTTTCTGGTTCTAATTTAGCCCATTACACTCAGATAATATCAGCTAGTAATTTCTCAGCTGTGTCCACAGAAAAGCATTCAAAACCTATGTATATTCATTGGAAAAATTAATTAGTCATTATCTAATTAACTCAATTGATATAGCTAAAAAGGGCAGAAAAGTCAAAAGCCAAGTAAGTTTTAAAGCTAAATTATATTTCCAAAAGCTACTTGTCAAACTAAACAAATAATGGTTATTATTTTCACTTTACTTTTAACTATGCAGATACAAGTTGTATCTCATACAACATATAAGCTGAAAATGAAGAAAATCAAATCACAGTCCACTACTGTGGCCTAAATGGCCCTAAATCTCTTGCAGATAGGTTTTCATTCTATCTAGATAGTTAGACCACACCAACATGGTCATAACTTCATTATCATTGCTACATTTGAGTTACTAACATAGGAAAGGAAGCTTATCTAATTACCAATTTCCAAAGCCAATGAGGCCTCTCCCCTTCCATTAAATAAAGCGAAGGTCATTCTGATTCGACCCCAGAGAAACAAGTGCATGCATATACCTGGCTTCCCATTATCCTCTCTGGATAAGAGACTGGAACAACTATTTAGCTTCCATCTCATACTTGTAATGACAGGAAAGAGAATACAAAAAGTCCATTGTAAATTTGTACAAAATGTATACATATATAAATACATATCTATGGGTATATATAAATTCTAAAGATTATATCCATCTACATCTTCAAAGTCAAAGTCCCATACAGTTGACATTTTGGCATTCTCTCTCAATTTTTCTCATTTTTTGAAACAGTAAAATCAAGCATGCTACCTTATTAATACTGAATAGCAAGTGCAGGAGTTGTAGCTATAGGGCTTTGAAGCAATTAGTTTGACGGGACATCAGTAAACAAAATCTTTTAAGTAAATTTAGCAATTTCCATATTTTCTTTTGTTTCATAGAAATGAAAACCCAAATGCCCTATGAGTCAGTTGGGCTCGACAAGTAGCAGTGCTTTAAACAGAGTCTATATAAATTGCTTTGACATATTATTGCAGTAATTTGGTGTGGGATCTGGCCTACTAGAATTTTAGGTAATTCTCATTCTAGCTCACAGAAATCCTATGTGAAACAACCAGGTTCAGACCATATTAAACTCAGTATGAAATATGATTAATAAGCTGCATCATCTTTACACAGGACACTATTAAAATATGAAATCCTAGTCAATTGATGGAGAAAGGCATATATATTTAAAGGTGCACAATAACAACATATTGCAGATGTGTGCTCATAGTTAGAGGTATCAACTCTTTTTACAATACATGTAATTAGCTTATTTCTTGCTCCTTCTTAAATACCTTTTGGAAAATTTATATAGGACATTGCCCCTAAGGTATATAGGTTGCTCCTAGAAAGGGGATAATTATTGCATGCCTTGAATGCATTGTGATTCAGAAGGCAAGAACAAGGGAGTGGCTTCAGCACCAAGGAAATGGAATCATCATCTAGCACTGCTCACAACAGAATATCTTATTGCTTTAATAAAATGGGAAATTATTCACTATGAAAAGTGCACCAAATAATGGGAATAAAATAATATCTATGCATTTTAGTAGAGCTCATTGAAATGAGGACGCTACCTTCTGGGTTTCTGATTTTATTCAAATTGCAAGTCCAAAAGCCATTCTTTAATAAGGTGTTAAGAACTACATCTGGACAAGGGTAAGTTGCAGAAATTAATGGACTTTCTTCTTCAAAGTGCCTTAGTCATTCTGTTGTACAACATAGAGCTCTGATACACTGAGGGGTTCCTTAGTGGCCTGAGGGAGAGGATGCACTCTGACCTATTACTAGGAAGTGACTAAGGCACTAGAAAGAATGTGGTTTATTATTTAATGTATTGTATCCAAAGATTATATCTGGTCTTTCTAATGTTACAACATGGTACACGTAAATGGTGGTTTTCTGTGCTTTAGAAAAGGACTTAGTTGATATCTGAGGAGGGAGTAAAATTAACCCTACTAAATTATTTTATAAAGATACAGACTGAGCTTGGGCAACTTCATATATGACCTAAAACATTAGAGGCAATAGTTTCTCTGTATAAAAGCACATAAGACTGAAACAAGACAGAGAATCGGGGTCAACTAGTGACTTAGAGGAACGCATGTGGGGTCTTACTACCTCACACTCAGCAGTAGACTGAAGACTCTTTTGGTTAAGCATTTTGTTGATCAGTTTCATTCATACACTTCTTAATTATTTGAATAGCTGTCTAATAATTAGTTTTCAGGAAGAGATACCACTGCATATAATTAAGATGTTATAAGCTTCTAGACTTCATCTGTCCAAGGGAAACAGAGTGGAAAATAAGCACAGTCAGACTCCATTTCTAACATAGAAGGGTTTATCTGGCATTTGAAGAGAGACCAAAATATTTCACTTTCTTTATCCTCAATATTTTTTTCATGTGTTTAGTGAGGTTAGTTAACTCAAACTTAAAAAGAATACTCTCTTTGGCTGTATCTCAGATGCAGGCACAGATTTGTAACTAAGCGAGCTGTAAACAATTTTATCCTGTAAGCATTTACTGATGTAACTTGAAATTTGCATGTCCTGTCATCCAAATTGCCCAATATCCCCACCAGTCTCTCCACCAAACACAACCATACAAGCATACACACGCACCACTGCCTCCAGGTGGAACTTCGTGCAGAGAACTACAGGCACTGTTTAAATATTAACCATGTTTTAATAGATGGCATTCTTTGCACATCCATTATTTGTGTGTTATCTGTTGTGTTGTTTCTATTACTCACAAAAGGAAAAAAGAAAACATAGGTGTCATCTTTTTATATTAATCTACTACAGAGTAAAATACAAAAGAACACTTCTGGAAACAGCATTAGCCAGGCCTGCACCACTGAATTCCTCAGCCAGTGGTGACGGTTATATCAACAGCTGGAAAATAAGAACAAGAATATACAGTTTGGAGGGCTTATACAGAACTATATTTTTCTTCTGTATTTGGTACCAATATAATAAGTATATAACAAATGTGCACTTGTTCTAAAAATAAAACAAACATTCTGGTTGGTTAGATACTACGTTTTTCAGTACTGCACATCATCTAGTACTTTTCGTTTTACAAAAGGCAACTTATGCAACGCTTAATAATAATTAAACTAATAGTACACACTAATTCGATTGAAGGGGGGAAAAAGAAATAAAGAAACCAACCAAATCCAGTATAGTCACTTTCCAAAACAGCCCCTCCTTTGGCCTGCACAAGCAGAGGAAGTAACCATGCCGGTGAGTCGGATTCAGCACCAGGCCTGGCTGGACAGCTCCCGGGTTCTCTGGGACTCCTGAAAACAAAAGTGTGCAAGTAGGGCGGGGCAGGGAGCAAAAGCAGGTTTGTTTGTTTTTTTGTTTTTTGTTTTTTAACTCATTGAAAGATTTGACGCTCGGCCAGCGAGAGAGATCTGTAAAAGTAAACTCAAATATTCTGCCCTGGAAAAGGTAATGATTTAACAAAGAGTGAGAAGATGGCTGACTAGAGAGGGGTACCTGTCCTAAACATCTTTTCTGGGACTTTCTCTGTGGCCTCTGATGCTCAATGTAAATACATTTTTTTAAATAACATACTATTGCCTGAGGCCGGCTGAGGGTGAAGAAAGAGGAGGGGAGGGAGGCTAAAGGAAAAGTGAAAGCTGTGGAGGAGGAAAAGAAAGGCAACTAAACCTTAACTTGGCAGCTATATACAACATCACCGGGCCCCCTCCCCTCCCTTTGCTCCAGTGTCAATGTCTTTTATATATTTGGAAGCTTGTGCGGTTTCTCCTCCTTACTGAGGGGGGCACGGGGTGGAGAGGGAAGATGAAGCCTTCATTGACAATGAGAAATTATGTGATTTGTCATGCGCTTGGACTGTGTTATTAGTAGTATAATTACTATAAATATTAATAAAGTATTATCAGCGTTATTACTTCTTCCGAGACTTTCCTCACCCAATATTTACAAATACCGCACAGTGCCTCGGCGGAGGAGAAACAGTAAAAGGGAGGGCAGATAAGGAAAGAAGGCAGAGGGAGAAGGGCCAGAGGAAGATGGTAAAGGAAGGAAGGAGGAACAAAAGCGAGGGTGGTTAAAGATGCTGGAACCCGAGGAAGGGGTGAGGAGATGGGGGGCGGGGGCTACACAATCAGGACAGTACCACCGTTTGCAAAAGGCCCTCGCCAGCTGTGTCCAAACAGGAGGAAGCTGCGTGTGCTCCGTGTGGACTGGGGGCTGGCGGTGGAGGCGGGGGGGAACAGAGACCCTGGCATGGGAGGCCAGGGGATGAAGAGGTGGAAGAAGAAACGGCATTGGAGGGGGTGCAGAAGGCGGAGTCCCGGGGTTGCCTCTCTAGCCGGGTTTCTTTTCCGTGGGTTGGGGCCTGAACACCTGCTCGAGGCAGCCCCCCACCACCGTGGTTGCCACTGCAATGATCCCTCTCGTATTCCTCCTGAGCCCTCTGCATCTTCCGTTTCTTCATCCTACGCTTGTGGATGTGGAAGGTGGAGAGGGACAGCAAGATGAGGCAGAAGATAAGAGTGACCAGGACAATCAGCACCAGCGTGGACGAGAAGGACTGGAAGAGCTGCTGTCCCACCTGCGTGATGCAGGTGCCACCTCCTGCGCCTGAGCTGCGGACACCTGCGTTGCCGCCACTGCCGCTGGCGTTGGGGGAAGCAAAGGTCCGGTTGAGGAGACAGGGAGGCAACGCCAGCCTCAGCTCTTTCGGCGCCCTGGCACTCATCGGCGCTGGGCTGAGAGGGGCTAGGCCCACCAGGCTTCCTCTGTTGAACACACAGTTCCCACCAGCCAAGACAAGGACAGAGCCCACGCCACCCCAACTGCTCCCTGGCGCGGGAGGGAGTGAGGGCTCGAGCCAAAGACTGAGGGAGCAACTGCTAGCAAGCAAGCTAGCCAGAGCTAGTGGCCCCAGGGAGATTTGTCTCTGGTCCCGCCTTGAATGTGTCTCCAATCGCTGGTTTCTTTTTCCGAGGCACAGAACTGCAAAGAGAGCAGGCTTAGTTAAGGTCCAGGAGAGTGCAGGGCGCGCTGTCTCAACTGGGCACTGCCATCTCCAAAATCAGGGATCCCCATCCCCACCACTCCTTGAGCTGTAGAGTCGCCAGCTGTTCGCTCCACAGGCTCGGATGGGGTTTGTGGCCGCACCGCACCGCGGAGGTGCTGATTACTCAGCAGAGAAGGGCAGCCTCCCTGCACCCTGCACAACTTTCTAATTGCTATGGACAGCGGCCGCCAAGCCCGGCATGCTCTACTTTGCAGAAAGCCGACTGTCCTCTTTCCTGTGCCGGGTAGACCTCTTCTCCTGGATCCTATTCCCCCCAGCACCAGCTCCAAGAGGGTTCCTTGTAAGCAGTCCTCCTTTCCCATCTCTCCCGGTTCAGGTTCAGACTCTTCCCGCTTGGACGGCGCCCGATCCCCCAGGGTCCCACTCCCAGAGGGGTACAGCTCACTGCCTGTGTCCCAGCCCACAGCTCACAGGATGAATCTGGCACACAGGATCATGCTCGACCTTTTCCCAGCCTTCTTCCTTGATGCTTTCCTCCCCCTCCCTCCCCACCAAAAGCAGCCTTCTCAGCTGAGGCACATCTTCGCAAATGCTCCCCCCAACCCCATCTCTCAAGGCCTCCCACTTGACAGTATCCTGTATCCAGTTTCTCCCAGATCAGGAACTGGAAGGGGGAGGGTTCCCGCCTGCAAAGTTTGGGGAACGCACCTTGTTTCCGGCCTTCTGGAGCCCCAGCCCAAGGGCCGGGAGGCTATTGCAGAGGACCAAGCCAGGTAGACCCTCAGCAGGCAGCGGAGGCTTGCCAGCCACTCCCAAGAGGCAGGTGCTAACTGTTGCACTGCGGAGCAGCCAGGCAGCGCACTAGCCTCGGCCCGGGTAGGGGCGGGGGCCGAAGCTGTGACCAGAGGTGTCTGTGCAGGCCTCAGGAGCTGTCCTACCCTCCCATACCCTGCCGGTGGATCCCCTGGCCACGGAAGCCTTCCGCCGGACCACTGTTTCTTACCTGGAGCGGCCAGCTGGCTGCACCGAAGGAGCCCCCGCGGCGCGGCTGCAGTGGCGGCTGCAGAAGGCGCGGAGTGCTGGGACCAGAGACAGAGCCGCGCCGCTGCTGCTGCTGCTGCCGCTGCCGCTGCCTTCGCCGCTGCTTCAGGGAGCTCAGCTCTTAGCCTATTGCCAGAGAGGCCGGTGACGTCAGGCAGCCACTGCCAGGGCTCCAAGCCACCCCTCAGGCCCCCGCCCACCCTCATACCCCAACACCTTGTCCTGGCTTAACAGCCTCGGCAAACCGTCCCCAGTTCCCTGTTGTTCCCCAGCCCTGGGGCTAGGAAGAACAACCCCCACTCCACCCCCACAGCACCAGTAACCCCCTTCAGCACCACTGTTCCTTTGCCTAGGAAGACACAAGCTTCCTTTCTTCCACTGGCCGGCTCTTCACCTTCAACCCTTTCCCAGGTGGTTCCAGGAGCACAGTTTTGCTCCCTGGAGAACCTTTACCCCTGGGGGCACAATGCATACTTTCTCCCTGGTGACAGATGAGCTTTGCTCCTTCCTCCAAATCCTGTCTGTGCTCCCTCTGGTTCTAAGCATAAACTGAAAGCACTGGGAAGGTGGCAGGGACATTTGTCAACACAAGTGTGGCCAAATCTGAAACAGGAGACTGTACATGCCTCAAAAAAACAACGGTTTGTATCTCCCTCCACAAGTCATCAAAGTATCCATCTATTTTTGATCTCCCTCTTCATTCCTTCATCTTCAGGTCCAAGACACATTTGGTGGGTTTTAAATGCCCCCTTTCTCTTCTGATGACCAACCCCTCATGAACACCCAAAGCATACACAGACTTATAAGGCAAGAGGAAGAGATTACACAGAGGAGTGTAGAAACAAATTACCTACAAAAACTCTCAGCATTTGACCACTCACAAAGTACTCCTTCATTGACTCAATTTCTGTCAAAGCACTTGATGCATTAGTCTTTTAAGTAACATGTATAAAACTTCTAGAAGAGTCATCTTGGCAGTCTGCAAGGGTCTTGTCAGAGACTAGTGAATTATAGGTTTAGGATCCATGAAAAAAATAGGAATAGTGTATTTGATTATAATAGCCATCTTCAAAATGGAGTATGTTCATTTTTTTTTATTGGAAAAACCATCTTGGAACACTAAAGACTATCTGGTTTTAGAGGGCATTCAGACATCTTATTAAAAATGTGTTTCTTGTCCTCTTTGAGTCTAGCACAGGTCGAAGTTCCTACTTTCTAGGTTGAACAGTAAAGTACCTGTCACTGCTTTTCTTGCTCTGCATCAGAAACAAGAGTGAACAGGAATAAGAGATATCACATGCCTGCCTGCATTTGCTGTGCTTGTGAAGAAAGAATCTGACATGATCTGTTGTTTCTATCTAGTGCCACTCCAAATTCTCCTCTTTTTCTTGCTACACAAATGGAAGAAGAAATACATTATACCTTTTCCTCCATCCAAATCTGTTTTTGTTTATTTGAATGTGAGTCATCTGGGGCCTTGAGAAACCTCAGTTTTAAATATGGTTTTATAGCACACAGGCAAGGCCCTGGGTTCTATCTCCAGTACTACAGAAAGAAAGAAAGAAAGAAAGAAAGAAAGAAAGAAAGAAAGAAAGAAAGAAAGAAAGAAAGAAAGGAGGGAGGGAGGGAGGGAGGGAAGGAAGGAAGGAAGGAAGGAAGGAAGGAAGGAAGGAAGGAAGGAAAGAAAAGAAAGAATAATCTCCATTGACTGCATCCTCACCACTTTAACTGTTTTCAGAATTTCTCTGATTGGCACAGTTCTGCTCATCAGCTTTATCTTCATAACTGTCTCAATATATTCTATTTAAGTGACTAGTTCAGTACACGCTGAATAATGCATGGCAGCTTCAGGCCACAGACAGATGCTCTTGACTGCCAAAGTCACACAGCTAAAATGACCAATGACCTCAGTGCTTCAGCAGAGCCTTCCTTGTTAGCAGGAGGGAACCTGATGCTTGTAAAAAGCCACCTTCCACATTTAGGACTTAGTGGACTTGGAAATGGTGAGTCTTTTGCTTGCCTACTTGCTTCACTGTGATCACGGAAACCTCACTATCAACACTTGATAGGCAATGCCCCATTCGTGCACACTCTCTTTACTCTTGAGAGAAAGTTGAGCCTGATCAACGTTTTGTAAAGCAAACCTATTTTTGAATACTCCAAAAAGAGTTCTGGTTATTTAGGGAGGCTCTTCATCAGGAAAAATTTTAAAAAGGAAGTTGTCTTATAAGGAAAAATTTTTTACACAGAATTAACTCTTTATGATCTGTTTTCTAAGTTTGGAGAAGTCATTGGGTTTTCCTAGTGAAAAATCTATCTTTACAATATCTTGTAATGGGATTGTAATACATTGGTAATGGGATTCTTCCTACATGCCATGCTTTTTTATGCCATGACACTGCCACTGTTCTCACTCTGAGAACCATCTGTTATGCCAGGAGTGCTCAAGGTGTCTGCATTTCACATGACCTATGAAAAGACAAGGTTTTACCCAGAGAATTTACATCTTCCTGGGGATGAATGTGTTTGGGAAGACAATGGTATTTAACTGCAAGTGATTCAGGTCAATTGAAGACATAAATTTTCAGATCAAAAGCACATACACTTTCCCCCCATCTTCTCTTTCAGGCTGTAAATTCAGTTTTTATGTGGAGGTCAAATGTACTAAATATATAGACTTGGATATCATTGGGTAGAATAATTCAAGCCCAAGGAAAAGCATGGTGAAATGTGCATAGCTCTTGGGCTGCAGGATTTTGATCCCACAGAATGGCAATGTGATTTGGGCACAGCTGGATTAACATCAAAGGTTTCCACGCAGCAGGTTGCTAATCTTTTAACCATTGAAATTGCCAGGCTATACTTCTTAAGAGAAAACAAAGAGCTTCTGAGAGCCTCAGAATCTTCCCTTAGAATATCTTCTTGGATTCAGGCATGTTTCCAAACAGTCAGCAGTAGCACATAATATAATACTTGCTCCCAAGTTTAACGAAGAATTTCTGTCTATCTTAGAGAGAAGTGCTATATGGGCACCTGCACATCCATCAACAAAGTCCTGAGTCAGTAATAATAACGATTATTATATGAAAAATAGTAAATCTGAGCTATGCTAATCTGTATACATTAGCATGAATTCACACTATAACCTGATAAGTTATTTTTACCAAAATAAAATTTGTTCATTCATTCATTCATTTGCCTGCTTACGTACTCAACAAAAATATGAGTAGTTGGGGATGCAGTTCAGAGTATTTTTAACATGCATGAAATCATTGTATTCAGCTCCCAGTACTATATAAAATTGGGTGTGGCAGTACATGCCTATAATCCCAGTATTCTGGAAGTAGAGGTAGGAAAACCAGAAGTTCAAGGTTACCCTCATTCACATAGGAAGTTTGAGGGCAGCCTGAGCTACATGAGACCCTGTCTCAAAAATGAAGGAAGGAAGGAAGGAAGGAAGGAAGAAAGAAAGAAAGAAATATTTGTGTATCTACTATATGTAAGGAAACAAAAGTTTAGAATGTTTTTTAACTGTCTCTCTGTCTTTTTATCCTTCTTTACCTCCTTCCCCATCTCCCCCCTCTCTTTTCCTCTGTCATCTCTCTCATTCTCTCTCTGCCTTTTTCTCTCCTTACTTTCATCCCTCTACTTTATTTTATGTATCTCTACTTTATTTCTACTTTTATATTACCCATGTTTCTAACTGCTTATGATTGGAGTAAATAGGTGACATTAAAGAAGACTGGAGATGTTTAAGATAGAGGAGGGAGAAGTCCATAGAACTCGACAGACTCCCTTGGACTAGGCATTCTAGTCTGGAAACCAGTGCAATGTACTAGGCCACTTAGGCAGGTCATTATGAACCACACTAAATGCATGCTGGACAACTCCTAGATGTACAGCGATGTTCTCAGAGAATGTGCTGCTTATTTTGATATTTTGCCTAGGTTTATCTCCTTGGCCCTGAGCCCTCAACACCTATAGAGGTATGTCTATACAGTGTCATGTTACTATTAAATCAACTGCTCACCCAGCCTGTAATAAATTAGCCAATTACTAAACAAGGCACAAAATGGCATTCTTAACTTTGTTTTAGTTATGTGAGTCATTTTTCAATTCAGTTTTCCTGTCTGTAGAATGGGGATAAAAATGATGATAATAGTATCTTCTTTGAAGGACTGTTTTAAGTATCAAACACAGAAAGCATTTAGATTTTTATATAGAAAGAAAATAACAAACATTGATATTTTATCCTTGGCAACAGATATGTTATTTTAGACATCAAAATTCTTCAGTCTTCAGTTTTCATATCCCTTATGCAAAGGTGACTATATGGGTAAAAGGACTGAAAATAATGATAGATCATGTGCATGATGGACCTGGGAATGTGAGCCCTAGAGATTCAATGCAGGGATTATACCACAGCATCTTCCAGTGCTGGACACCATCAACAGGTGATTACATACTTCAGAGAGGACTGGACCACAGCAGAATAACTAGAGTAGAAATCATGTTTCGAGTCATCATTTCTATAGTGAAAACACATCTCTAATCACCCAGTGGGTAATCATCTACATAGCAGCAGTCTTCAAAGTGGATAAAATACATACTTTAGAGTACATTAAAATATTCTGAAGAATAGGAATATATATTTTTTAAGGAAATTATTTTCCAAATCCTCTACCCTATGTGAACTTTCCTTCAAAAATGTATCTGTTTGGGATTAAAACTTACCTTTTGTTGCACCCTTCACTCTCCCTATTTCACTGTACTCACTAACTCTCAGTCTTACTATTAGGCATCACTCAGGGTAGAAAAGCCCATGGGGAGCTAAACAAAGAAACACCTTGAAGATATGTAACTCCCAAAGGAGTGACATGCAAGCGCACATGTAATCTATAACAAATATTAATGGAATCGTGCTTTATCTCATGTAGGGGACAAACTCATTTGAAGGCTCTGTGTCTTATCTGTCTATATATTGATTTCCCTTGGAATTAAAAAGCTGCATGGTTTTCACAGGGATGAAAGTATTATGATTTAAATTGAAAAATGAACTTAGACTTTTGTCCTTGGAAAAATGTAACCCTGATTGGCCTGTTACAGTTGATTATTTGAACAGGATTTGCTTGACAGATAAT